GCTCATCGGGGAAAACGCGCACTAAAATCTACGGCAAGCTTGTTAGGAAGATTCTGGAGGTGGACAGTTCTGCACAGATTGCTAACTGCCTTTCCGAGAAACAGGAGACCAATTAGAACCAGCCGGATAATCCCACTACCAAAATTGGCAGTGGAAAGAAGCGAGGGACTTTCTCCATCATTCCCTATTGCTTCATCGTTAATATATTAGGATTTCATGTGTTGTGGGCCTTCCTGCAGGCTTTACAAATAATAGCAATATTCCTCTGGAGTCTTTCCTTGCAAGCTGCTTGGATAAGGGGTGGGGAATCAGAGACATATATAAGGGACTTCTCCGTGTCACCAGTGGCTTACTGCAGGCGAAAAAGTGATCATAGACTGGAGTTCTTCCAGTTTGCTTTTTCCCGCAGTAGGGAAGGGCTGGGACTTTAAAAGGAGGGGCTACCTTTTTCGGTTGTGAGCTGTGCAGAGAGCACTAAAGTGACAAAGAATCATGGGATATACGACATCTATGCATTTAAACACCCAGAAAAATACGGTATACTCCATTTAATCCTCCAGGGAAAGATTGAAGGCAAACGAGGTCCAGGCAGAAGAAGAACATCGTGGCTTCAAAATCTAAGGGACTGGTTTGGACAAAACTCAGCAGCACTTTTTTGTGCGGCTGCTGATAAAAACAGGATTGCCAACATGACCGCCAATGTCCGATAACGGATATGGCAGAAGGAGGAGGAGGAGGAGGAAGAAGAAGAAGAAGAGGAAGAGGAGGAAGAAGAAGAGGAAGAGGAAGAGGAGGAAGAGGAAGAGGAAGAGGAAGAGGAAGAGGAAGAAGAAGAAGAAGAAGAAGAAGAAGAAGAAGAAGAAGAAGAAGAAGAAGAAGAAGAAGAAGAAGAAGAAGAAGAAGAAGAAGAAGAAGAAGAAGAAGAAGAAGAAGAAGAAGAAGAAGAAGAAGAAGAAGAAGAAGAAGAAGAAGAAGAAGAAATTTAAAGATAAAGGTTTGCCCTGTCCAGTAGTGTCCAGCTCTAGGGGCCCGTGCTCATCTCTGTTTCTTAGCCATGGGAGTCAGCGTTGTCTGATGACGTTTCTGTGGCCAGCGTGGCCACAGCCGAGGCGCCTGGAACGCTGTTATTTTCCCACTTGAGTGGTACCTATTTATCTACTTGCGTTTGCGTGCTTTCAAACTGCTTAGGTGGGCAGGAGCTGGAGCAAGGAATGGGAGCTCACCCCATCGTGCGCCGTTCAGGTCTCAAAACCCTGGGCTATCAACGTTCTACACATTTAAAGAGCAGGAAAACTTACAACCCGCAGGAAAGGGGGAAATCAGAGATAACCGTCTTCTCTTCAACAGGATTGCGTCTGGGATATAGAGGGCTGCAATAGAACAGCATTGACCCACAACAGGTGACCCACAACACTGGGAGTTTGTCAGCCTCACTAGGTAGAGCAGACAGGAAACATGACTGGTTGTCCTAATTCTGCTTTACTGCAAAGCTACAGAATCTTGCAAGTCTGAAAAGATCATTCTCCTGTCTCCTCCTTTAGAGCCTAAGACATTAGGAAGGGCTCCTTCTAAGCAACTTGCTCCATCCACTATGCAGCTGTGGGCTACGGTGTCTCTTATCTGGTTGTTCCCTAGACCAGGGCTTTTCAACCTTTTCACCCATTGTACCACTTTTAGGATATGGCAACATCCGAGTACCACCAGTCGCCTAGCAAGGTGTCAAAAACGTGATGACCAAAAAAAAAGTGATAAAGTACAGGTAGTCCTCGACTTACAACAGTTCGCTTAGTGACTGTTCGAAGTTACAACGGCACTGAAAAAAGTGCCCCCTGAGCCACAGCCGAGCAAGACACCTGCCTGCCCACCCGGTGGCGCTCTTCCTCCTGTTGGAGGTTTTCATTGTTGTGAGCATTTCTGTTGAGAATTGGCAGCGGGGGGGGGGTGTTTGGATTTTATTTCCCCCCCCCCCCGTCTGCTGGGTGGTTGCAGCAGGTTTTGGTCACTTCACATGATCCTGGGACACTGTGACCGTCATAAATATGAATCAGTTGCCAAGCATCTGAATGTAAATCACAAGACCCTGGAGATACTGCAACATTCCAACTGATCAGCGCTTCTTCTGGGCTCAGCAGAAGTGCCAGGAACAGCACAGAGCTCCAGCTGGAGCCTGGCGCTGATCCTGGCGCTTCCGCTGAGCCCTGACAGCCCTGCAGCTCCAGCCATCTCTCGCTCAGGCTTGTGAGGTGCTGCCACCGGTTCAGCTCATTCCCCTCCCCCGCTACCCCTTTTCTAGGATGGTCGCGTACCACCTGCCAGGTGCCAATGTACCACAGGTGGTACCCGTACCACTGGTTGAAAAGCCCTGCACTAGACAGCTTTTCTTGGCTCTTTTTCCTAAGATCTGTCCCACATACTATTACAGGGTTTCCGATTGTTCTCCTTGGGAGAAGATGATTTGGGGGCAGGGATGTTTCAAAAACTATCTTGAGCCTATCTAAGGATTTCTACCACCCTTTCTCAACTGGAACGCTCTCCAGAGAAGTGGGCTTCAACTCCCAGAATATCCTGACTTATGCAATTGACGTTATGCTTCCTACTTCAAAAGGTGGACAAATCTCCAAATCAAGCAGGTCTAGAGGTAACGATCCAACATCCCTCAAGGGAATTGTCACGCAATATGACCTCGACTTGCAACCGTGCATTTAGTGACCGTTTAAAGTTACAATGGCACTGAAAAAAGTGACTTATGACCGTTTCTCACCCTTGGAACCATTGCATCATCCCCTTGGTCACGTGATCAAAATTCAGAAGCTTGGCAACCAGCTCGTATTTATGACGGTAGCAGTGTCCCAAGGTCATGTGATCAGCTTTTGGGATCTTTTGACGAGCAAAGTCCATGGGGAAGCCAGATTCATTTCACAACTGTGTTACTAACTTAACAACTGCAGTGATTCATTTCACAACTGTGGCGATAAAGGTCACGAGATGGGGCAAAACTCACTTAACAAATGTTTCATTTTGCAACGTATATTTGGGGCTGAATTGTGGTTGTAAGTTGAGAACTATTGGTGTGATATTTCTTGCAGCCAACTTTCTGCCCTTGAAATATTTTGGATTACCACTTTTTGTTGTTGTTGTTAGTTGCGAAGTCGTGTCCGACCCATCATGACCCCATGGACAATGTTCCTCCAGGCCTTCCTGTCCTCTGCCATCTTCTGGAGTCCATTTAAGTTCACGCCTACTGCTTCAGTGACTCCATCCAGCCACCTCCTTCTCTGTCGTCCTCTTCTTCTATTGCCCTCCATCTTTCCCAGCATTAGGCTCTTCTCCAGTGAGTCCTTCCTTCTCATTAGGTGGCCAAAGTATTTGAGTTTCAACTTCAGGATCTGGCCTTCTAAAGAGCAGTCAGGGTTGATCTCTTCTAGGACTGACCGGTTTGATCGCCTTGCAGTCCAGGGGACTCACAGGAGTCTTCTCCAGCACCAGAGTTCAAAGGCCTCAATTCTTTGGCGCTCCACCTTTCTTATGGTCCAACTTAAACCCAGCACACGAAGGGAGCATCGACAGAGAGGAAGTGATAATAACAACCCTTGAAATAACTGTACCTATGTACCGTTTATGTTTCCCTATTATGTAATATTCATCATTACCAATTGATCTGCAGCCAGCAGAGGGCAGTGCAGGATAGGAATTTTGTCTGCTTTATTTTTCCATTTCACATATTTTTTTTTATTTTTTTCTTTTGTCTGGTCTCCGAATCTTGTTGACCTCTGACGACGTCCTCCACTAATTCCTGCATTTTTATTGCAAGGTTGTTCCGAAGCGGCTTGCCATTGCCTCCCTCCTAGGACTGGGAGAGAGGGCTGGCTCAAGAACACCCAGCTGGCTTCATGCCTAAAGGTGGGATTCAAACTCGGGGTCCCTTAAGTTTGTGTTTACTATTTTGTTTTGTTTTGTTTTTTAAAAAAGCAGTTGAACGTTTTTGGAAGTTTTTCCAATCACTCTGATTACACCCGAGCTGGGTGGGCCAATAAAGAAAGAAGAAGAAAAAATATAGAGGAAAGAAAAAATGAAGAGTATATTTATTTACAGCTCTTCTTATGCTGCTGCTGTTTCCCCACCTGTTCTTCCCACCAAAGATCTTTCTCCTGTTTTTATGGCCTCTGATCCCAAATCACTTGCAATCCCCAGTTTTCCTTCCATCACAGTGGATAGCAAACACTTCCCGGAGGATTTACTTTAAATGTTACAACCAGACGTACATTGTACCCATAAGAAGCTACTTGCCACCTATTTCGGAACCGGTTTTTAAAGCTGCATGGAAGAACATGGGGGAAAAACTTTTCATCCCATTCCAAAGATGGCACCGCAAGCCTTGAAACGTCCTGTTTCAATACAAAAACATGATATGTAATTCTGTGACGGCTGAGCGAGATACAATAGGCATACTCAGCTGCTTGGGCTAATTAAATGAACTATTTATTTATTAAATTTCTGAATTGCTCACCTGACTTAAGTGACTCTGGCCAGATTACAAGAGCCGCTATAAACACGTGACCGAAACAGGATTCAAAAAACAAGATTGAAATGCACAGGTTCAAAGTGGAAATCAAAGTTAAAACCTTCAGAAATATGAATCTGAACTAGGCCTGGGGACTTCTGGTTTATGAAGCTCCTGCTGTGGAAATTGGCTCCTCACCCATCTGGTAACACAATAACACTAAAGATAAGGTGACCAACTTTTTTACAACGAGGAGGAGGACACAAATAAATTGAAGGAAAAAAAGTGAGTCTAATGCGTGCGTGTGTGCCATGTCATGGTTCGGTAAGAAGTAAACAAAGCCACTTGCCTGCGACGCACTCTTGCGCGCGGCGCATTCTCTCAAAACAATTCTGTGCAGAGCGCATGCGTCTCATAATCGCGTCTCGCCGCACTGTACCGAGCCTTGACGAATCGTCATGTCAAATACAAATTCGTCACATCACACGCAACGGATCGGCTCGGCATTGATCAAATACGGAGATTTACAGATTAGTCTTCAAATATCGAAAAGGAGGACATGTAGGAGGACACTTTTCGAGAGAGGACAGAACTTACAGAAGAAGGACTGTCCTCCCTAAAGGAGGATGGTTGGTCACCTTACTAAAGAGAATACTTAAAAATCTCTATCAATGCTAGGGGAATTCTGGCCATTGAAGTCCACATATCTTAACATTGCCAAGGCTGAGATACACTGAACTATATTGCCAAGGAAAGCAAAGAGTTTTTAGCCTTGATGTCATCTATAACACCCCCAAATATGATTTAATACATCAGGATTAAAACAAACAAACAAAAAACAGGAGTTTAACCTAAAGCCTGAACTCAACTTGTGACACCCAAGGAAGCCTCTGAGGCCTTGAAATGCTAAATCTCAAAGATCTTAAAGATATGTCCTTAAAGTCTGAGAATGATTTTGCACACTATGAATTTAAATGGACCGAACGTTATCTAAACCAACTCTAGCAAGAATGCAGCCAGGTCATTTTCAGGATGTGAAAGCACTTGATCAGTCCTTTGAACTTCTACTGTGGGCTAGAGTTTTGAAGCGGTCTACAATCGGTTCAACAACCTGATCGTGAATTTTCGATAATTTTTCACGGATCGCAGTCCTCAGGTTTTCCAACGCTGAGGAGATCCAACTTGGTTTTTCCACCTCTTCCTTTTTCTTCCTAAGCTCCTCGATCTCCTCGTTCAGCTGGCTCGCCTCCTTCTCAAAACCCTCTTCCAATAAAGCCTTCTGCTCCTGCGGACAGAGCAAACATCAGCATCATGAGACTGAAAGCAAAAGACGTGATGATTGTCCCAGACCGTGTTCAAGGATGTACCCAAGAAAGAAAGAAGATTCAAGATCTACTTGGTCAATGCCTGTCAAAGTGTAATTGTGTAAAGGAGGAAATAACCTCATATGGACTCCGCCCAGCGGTGGGATTCAGCCAGTTCGCACCACTTCAGCAGAACTGGCCCAGAATGGACCTCTGGAAGCAGCATTCACATAGAGAACTGGTTGTTCACATATTTGAATCCCACTCCTTCCTTCCTTCCTTCCTTCCTTCCTTCCTTCCTTCCTTCCTTCCTTCCTTCTTTCCTTCCAGTGGTGGGATTCAGCCAGTTTGCACCACTTCGGCAGAACCGGTAGCTAATTTGTTGTTGCCCAGGCCCAGAATGGACTTCCAGAAGCAGCATCCACACAGAGAACCGGTTGTTCACATATTTGAATCCCACTCCTTCCTTCCTTCCTTCCTTCCTTCCTTCCTTCCTTCCTTCCTTCCTTCCTTCTTTCCCTTCCTTCCTTCCTTCCTTCCTTCCTCCCTTCCAGTAGCGGGATTCAGCCAGTTCGCACCACTTCGGCAGAACCAGTAGCTAATTTTTTGTTGTCCAGGCCCAGAATGGACTTCCGGAAGCGGCATCCACACAGAGAACCAGTTGTTGACATATTTGAATCCCACCACTGACTCCACCCCATTAGATCCCTATAATTCAGCTCAGTTACTCTCTCGGCCAGGGTGAGGTGTGTCCTGCAGTGAACAATTCACGTGGCTTCTGGACCAGTTGGCATATAAAGTAGCACAGGAAATGGGAATTCAAAGCCGTCTTGTGTCAGAAATCTTCATTCCCCAAATCGCGAAAGATTCTTTGCACTTTAAGGAGGGGGGGGGAATCCTCTTTTCATTTCCTCTTCTCTTACTCCTAACAGATCACAGCCAGAGCTGACATCGTAAGTCCGTACAAGTACAGTATAGTCACAGGCTGTCTCGCTTAATGACTGTGACAAAATAAAGAAAGATATACGTCGGGATCCAATCTGGGTCCGTCGTCGGGACCAGAGATATTGTCTTCCGAGCTTTCTGACTTACGCTGGAGCCCATCTTCAGGAAACGTCTCTCTAGCAGAGTGTGTGCTGTTCTGTGTGTTTTTTGTGGTGCCTGTTGTATGTGGCTTTTTAGATGTTGACTGGGGTGTGTTGATGACTGGCTTTTTAAGTCATGGGTTGTCGTTTGCTTGTGCTATCCAGCCCTCGCCTTCTAAATACTGACGAGAGGCTTGTTTTCCAAGTTCCAATCACTGCCCTGGCTGTTTTTGGACCTGCTCGTCCAACAATCTTAGTAGCTGCAAAATTGATTGACGGGATGATTTGCTTACTGACCAACCCAGATTGGATCCTGCAGCATTTTCCCGGGACACGTATATTCACCTTCATTGGTGAAAGAGATACTTGCACTACGCTTGTCCTAAACCCATTGCTTTTCAGTTTTGGAAGTCTGCCTGTTTGTTAAGACCTGACCTCCCAACTACAGCAAGCCCTTGCTGAGATTATCGTGTTTACCCTGAGTTTGCTTTCGATCATCTTCTCGTACTCTTCCAGCCTCTGCTTCTTTTCTTCCAGCCTCTTCTTCTTCAGCATATGAAAGTTCATGTCCTGACTCTGTTTGTGGTCCGCCGATTTCTGTTTTGACATTTCTTTTTCCTGCTTCTGAACCTCCTTCTCTAGTTCTTTGGCTTTGGCCTTCATCTTTTCATCTAAGCCGGGGTGGGGTGGGGAAGAGGAAGACATAAACAACTGCAGGTGATGTGCAAGTTGGCAAATACAGTAGTGGCCAAAACTGTGGAAACCTTTTGGGGAAAGTGTGCAGTAGAAATGCCACCTTTGGTTAAGTTTCCACCCATTTTTCTTCTAATTTCTTTATAACTATAGCCTTGTTCACTTAACAATACTATTTTGCATCGCTTTCTGGGCAACCAGTCAACTCTTTGCACCATGACTTTAATTTTATTACGTTTCACAAGCTCACTCAATGAAAGAACACAAAAAAACTCAACCAACTTGATAGCGATCACATAACACACTGACAAATGTCCTCCTCTCAGCTTCGATACAGGACATCAATAACTGGATCCTACCGTGATCTGATTGGCTCATTGCCAAAACAAGGTGACACCTGATTGGCTCTCTAAATGCTCATGCTCATTGGATACCATCAGATGAAGGAAAGCTACCTGAGATCAATCTAAGCAAGTTGTGCTTCCTTTTTCTGGTTATTTGGCTATAACTTTTCATAGAATATGGTACAGATAATTGAACAAACTTTGTTGCGTTACATTCTTGATTAAATTATCTTTCCATTGATATGTAATTTTATGGTACTACTCCCCCCAAAAAAGTGGTGTTATTAGCCATCAAACCTCAAAAATACACTTTTTCCCAAAAGGTTTCCACAATTTTGGCCACGACTATCTTATATAAATAAAAATGAAAATGTTCGTTTGTTCAAAATCTTAAATCTCCGAAAGTTCTTCACCGATTGCTTTGAAATTTTCACACAACGTTGCATTCGAATACGCACGTGTTTTTATATACCTATATTATATAAATGTCACACCTGTGACAGGTAAAAACATGCTTTTTTTGAAAAACAGTGCCATCTGTTGGACGTAAAAGCAACACACGCTTTTACCAGGCTGAGCAACAGCAACGCGTGGCTGGGTACAGCTAGTATTGCAATAAATAAGTAGATTTGGCTACAGGCAGCCCTTGCTTAATTATGATTGGAGGTTCCATCCCTCATCCACTCAGTCATAAAGTACAATTCAGGTCGTCCTCGACTTAACGACCACACAACTGAGCCCAACATTTCTGTTGCTAAGCAAGTCATTTGTTAAGTGAATTTTGCCCCATTTTATGACTTTTCTTGCCACAGGTGTTAAGTAAATCACTGCAGTTGTCAAGTTAGTGACACCGTTGTTAAGGGAACTTGGCTTCCCCATTGACTTTGCTTGAAGGGGATCCCGTGATCCTGGGACACTCCGACTGTCATAACTATGAATCAGCTGCCAAGCATCTGGATTCACGTGACCGCGGAGATGCTGTAATAGTCATAAGTGTGAAAAATGGTCGTAAGTCACTTTTTTCAGTGCCCTTGTAACTTTGAACGGTCACTAAATGAACTGTTGTAAGTCGAGGACGACCTGTACACATTTCCAGTCTCACTGTAACGAGGGTGTTTGGAACAAGAGAAGGCTATCGGCTGCAGTAGGGGAATTACAAGAATATTGCCCAAAGAGGCATTAAACAAATTACACGAACATTTTAGGAAAGACAATTATTTCCCCTAGAATCCTTTTTTCTAAAAAGAAATAAATCTTAAAACAGGGGTGTGATATGCTTGGATCAGCTCCTTCCCGAGGTCCTAGGCTCTCCTGCTCAGCATTTTGCAATTCGTTTATTGGGATATAAATGAATGCAGTTACAAATATTGGATAATGCTGCAGAAAAAGGACGCCTCTCCATCTTTCATTGCCAAGTACTTACTTAAAGGAGAGAGGAAAGCATTTTCCCAATGAGTTTAAAGATAAACAAGTCGGTTCCCACCTTCAAAGCAGAACCAACATCCCAGCATCATCCCGACACTTGTTCACACCTTTACCTGCTATTTCCTTCTCCTTCATTTGAAGGGCTATGTCATTTTGAAGGATGGCTTTGCTGATGTCTTCCTTGCCCCGGAGGAATTTTTTCAGGATCTTCCATGCCTGGTTGAAGGAAAAGAGAGAGTGAGCTGGAGTGACGCAGAGACGCCAGCGATAGGAGGAAGTGTGAAAGTGTGCTGGACCAGATTGTAGCTAGCTTAGGAATTAAGAACTACGTTAGAGCATTTAGCATTTAAAGGGTTAACGCTGTCTCCCTAAGAGATGGCCTCTGGGAAATGTAGTCTAGCTGTTAAGTCAGTCCTATATCTTATCGAGTCAGTGGGAGTGTCTTCAAAGTTTATGACAGGACTTCCTGGCTAGGTGTATGTAAAAGCCTTTGTGTAAGACAGACACGCGGTTCCTGTGCTCCATACGAATATGGGGTGAATCTACCTCTAATATTTTACACCACAAGAACGGAGAGAGTATGATACGTTCGTCAGAAGAACTCTTCTTGACTGTAAGTTATTGTTTAGAGATTCCTGAAGAATAAATAATCTGAATATTAATCGGTCTTTGGAGTTTATCTGTCTGTGACGAACAGGATTAAAGCAGATCTCTTGTTTGGACCAGAACAGTAAAATATTACAGGTAGATTCACCCCATATTCGTATGGAGCATAGGAACCGCGTGTCTAACTGAACGATCTCCCTGGAGGATGGCACTGCTGTCAAATGGGGGACAAGTGAAATCTCACGCCAAATTGGGGGAAAATTGGCTTCCTGTAGCTCGTCAAAAGGACATTTTAAATGAAAAAGCACAGTCTTGATGCCAGGGAGGTAGGTATGCAATGATGGGAATTTCACCCAAAAAGGAAATCCATTTCTTCCCTTCAAACATCTGTTATCACGATTGGAAATAATAATAATAGAGTTGTGTCTGACTCTAGGGGCCAGTGGTCATCTCCGTTTCTTAACCGAGGGAGACAGCATTGTAATTTCCATGGTCATATGGCCAGCTTGGCTATAGCTGAGGCACACGGAATGCTGTTACCTTCCCACTGAAGTGGTACCTATTTATCTACTCGCATTTGTCTGCTTTCAAACTGCTAGGTGTGCAGAAGCTGGAGCAAGGAACGGGAGCTCACCCGTTGCATTGCGCTCAGGTCTCAAACTCTCAGCATTTTTAACCATGGAGCCATCAGGCCCACCTATACATTACGTGCTTCATTTTCCCGGAAGCTTTATCCAATGTTACAAAGTCTAGCCCAGACATGACAAACTCGCGACATCACGTGACGTTGTGCAACGTATCGGGCCGGTTGGTTTTGCCATTGCCGGCAATGGGGTGGGCGCGGCTTCAGTATGATGAAACTGGCCCGCGGGCCGACAGTCTAGCCTAACAGAATTACATCATCCTTTGTGAGTATTAATTTACCAAACCTCATCATTTTGTACCATGATTCCTTTCTTAGGCGTATCAAAGAATTGTTTCTCCACTTTCTGGAGGTCATTAAGAAATTCCTGGTGGCCACCAGCTCGGGAGTAGCTTCCGTTCTTGATATTCTGCTCCAGGCCCTCAGATAGTGAAGCTAATAAAGCTGAACAGATTTCGGAGGATTTCTCTTTATTTTTCTGACAGTACTCTTCTTTCTTGCTATCCAGAGTTTTCTGGTAGGAACAAAAGATAACAAAGCAAGAACTGAGATTTGACAAACAAATCCATGTTTGTACATTGTATACATGCTGGTGGTCTTCCATGATTAAACAGACCTTCATCCCAATTTGAAATGGTGGCTGCTCTTCCTTTAATTCAGGGGTCTTCAAACTTGGCCCTTTTATGACTTGTGGACTTCAACTCCCAGAATTCCTCAGCCAGGCATGCTGGCTGAGGAATTCTGGGAGTTGAAGTCCACAAGTCATAAAAGGGCCAAGTTTGAAGACCCCTGCTTTAATTTAACTAGAGCAGTGTCTCTTCAGGGCAACAGGGCTTTAAGATGTATGGACTTCAACTCCCAGAATTCCTCAACCAGTATTGGTGGTTGTGGAATTCTGAGAGCTGAGGTCCACACAACTTAAAGCCATCATGGGTGAGAAACACTGAACTAGTTACTAGAGAGGATCCTTAAGTCTTAGAACAGGAACAGAATTTTCCAAAAGGGCTGATGATGACATCCCTCGTCATCCTGTCAATTCTCCTGGATGTTCCTTCCCACATCCATCATTTGTCCTTCACGGCAATCAGGCACATTTCCAAATAAAACACCTGGCGATATAGCCATCCACCAATATCTTGACTAGGAACATCTCCCACCACTTGTGTGAGGCTAGAACAAGAATACTATGTTTTGTATTCTTTTCTAAAATATTTTTTTAAACTTTATTATAAGATAAAAATGCAGAAAGAAACGTGTTTTTTTTCAACTTTGAGCAAAAATGCCAGGAGCATTTTCCAGACAGAAACAAAACGAGAAGAGTTCTTCTCTTTAATTAAAACCGTTTGGCCATCTCTGTCAATTCCATATTTTCTGTAGTCTTATAACTACAGGTTAAGGTTCCAGAACACAGGACCCATGAGTTTTCAATATTGTCTATAAAGGTTGGTATCATACAAGATTACCTACCATGAGTTCAACCTGGAACTGACGTGTATCATCCTTGAAAGCACGAGCCATGAACATCTGGAGAGCCTGTTCCTCACATATTTTATGTTTGTCCAGAAGTTCCTGAAGACTATCAGTGGGTAGCGGCAAGCTATGGTCCATCAGTTGCGCATAGCGAGCAACAGCTTCCTGCAGGGCTGCCCTGTTCTCAATCTCGGCCAACGCCAAGACTGTGTTCTCCAGGCAGGGAATATTCCCACTAGAGATAGTATCCACGTAGGTCTCAACCATCTTTGCCAATACTGCATAGAGAAAAATAATATAGATCGTTGAACCATCAGCCGGACATATTCAGCTATCGTTGCTCATTGTGGAGCAGACTCAAGAATTTAAGGCATTGCGCCATAACATGCTTGCCAATAGTCTATGTTGATTCTCACTCATCCAGGTCATGGTTGTCCCAACGGTGTTTTTTCAATAGGCAACTGGACTTTTTCCTTGACAATGTTTCCCTTCTCATCCAAGAAGCTTCTTCAGTTCGGACTCAATGACTCTCAGAGAGAGTGCTAATGACCAGATGATCGCAGGGAATATCAGTCCTTCCATTCTCCACCATCCAGTCAGAACTGAAGAAGCTTCTTGGATGAGACGCAGGGAAAACAAAGAAAGTCCAGTTGAAAAAGCATCATGCTTGCCAGTTGGGCTAGATCAGGGGTAGGCAACCTTGGCTCTTTTATGACTCGTGGACTTCAACTCCCAGAATTCCTGAGCCAGTCATGCTGAGGGGAAAGGGAGAGGTTTCCATGCTGAGCCATGCTGGCTCAGGAATTCTGGGAGTTGAAGTCCATGAGTCATAAAAGAGCCAAGGTGGCCTACCCGTGGGCTAGATGGTCCAGCCTGCATGGCTTTCTGGAGGAGACTTCATTCAACAGAATGAGGCATAGTGCATGCAAATTTTGCAGATGTCCCTGGCTTATAATAATAACACCCCAGACTTAACAACTGTTGAAAAGAAAGACAAAAAAGTCTGAACAGTGGATGTGGCAGTACCTGGAGACAGCAGAACAGAAGAGAAAGAACTCGAGAAGATAACTAAATACAAAGAAGACCTGCAAATAGAAATAGAACGACTGTGGCAAAAGAAAGCAAAGATGGAACTCATAGTAATAGGACCTGGGGTGCAAACCCAAAATAACTGGAGCACCACTTGAACACCATCAGCAATGACAAAATCTCCATCAGTCAGTTGCAAAAGGCAGCTGTACTCGGACTAGTTGACATCCTATGACATTACTTTCAACGTCATCAAACATCCACATCTGCCTATCCCAGGTCCTTGAGAAGAACTCCATTGGACCAAAATGCCAAATCCAATATAAACATCTGGCTGAGTATAGTTATTCCTCGATTTACGACCAGAACTGAGCCCCATTTTTTGTTGCTAAGTGAGACATTTCTTAAATGTATTTTGCCCCATTTTACAACCTTTCTTGCTACATTTAACACTTCTCGTTAAGTGACTCACTGCAGTTTTTAAGTTAGTAACAGGGTTGTGAAGTGAATCTGGCTTTTCCCCAACGACTTTGGTTGACCAAAGGTCACAAAAGGGGATCACATGACCCCAGGACACTGTGACCGTCATAAATATGAGCCAGTTGCCAAGTGTCTGAATTTTGATCACCTGACTAGGGGGATTCTGCAACGGACGTGTGAAAAATGATTACAAATCACTTTTTTCAGTATTGCTGTAACTTCAAACAGTCACTAAATGAACCGTTGTAAATCGAGGACTACCTTTATACAACCAATAATAATAATAATGATAGAGCTAGAAGGACTCACAGTTGCCAGTGACAACATGTCCGCCTGGAAGAGTCTTTTCTTGGGATGTCGCATAGACATAACGACAAAATCTCTTTGTTTGTTCCACAAATTCAGGCTCCAGCTGATTATCCACCATCTTTTCCAGATAGGGCAAGTTCCTACTTTTAGTAGGGCAATCAAAGACGAAGCATTTCCGGGTGTGGAAAAATAGTCGGATGTATTTCCGTGGCAGATTGAATATCTGCTCCTTCTGACTGTTACCTAGAAAGCAACATGTCCACCTGGCAGGTAAATCAGAATTTCACTGGGGAAAGTTCCCATCTCTATTATTTAGTGCCATTTAACTGTACTAAGTACAGGTTTCTCCTCTTACTTTATCCACCTTTTCTCTCTTATAGAGGCCACAAATCTATAATGTGAGTTTTTCTGATTTCCAAATCAGTGACTTTGGATAGCCTCTATTTAACACACTGCACTGTGATTTACCCAGAAGGATTTTGTGGAAAGGCGATGCACAAATTAAGGGTGGCTTAGTCTTTTAACCTGTAGACTCAGCCACCAAAGTATATGCAAATTGCAATCCGAAATTCCAAGCGGCAGCTTCTGGCAATTGCAACCCTGATTTAAATTAATCGAGAAAACCGAGCATTGAAGAAATAACACCATTGCTTATTGCACAACAAGTCATTTGGTTAGGGAACAAATGAGGAAAACAACTCAGCTTTTATTTCAGTGCCGTGACTACTGAGAATGAAATGGGTTTTCCTAAGAAAAACAGATTCCTATTGGGTATTTTTGTTGTCAATTTAGCTTGTTTCAAAGTTCAATTATTTTTTATTATATCATATCTGCTGAGTCTTATTTTACAATGCTCTGTCACCCAGATGACTTCCTTGGCTAAATTAGCAGAACCTACCATTTCCTGGTTTCTAGTCTGGTGTTTTCATTGCTAGATCAAACTGGCTTGGGTGATACTGTTTACCTCTTGAGGTCTATTCTGAGCCTCCCTAAAGAAGGAAAATTTAGGGCTGAGGCTTCTATTCTTTATTCAAGTGGTCACATAGACCTTCACGTTGCATTTGTCATCGGTTACCTTTTTTTAATTCCAGAGCGTGTTCCAGATATTCGTCCTCCGTGATGGATTGCCCGTCCCGTTCCAGCTGCAGTGCGAAGTCTCGCACCGTCCAGAGGAACATTGGGAAAAAGCCGACAAATTCGGAAGAGTCGTCTGTATCTCCAGGAGTGGAGGAAGCCTTTGCCTTGATATATTCAGACAGCTCCGTCACAAAACTGTTGGGCCAGTTTAGGATCAAGCAATGTACATGTGCGGTAAACAAAGAGGATGATCTTGAAGGCTAGAGAGAAGATTTGCTACCAAGGCAATTGTCAAATAAATGAAAGAACATTATAGCCTCAGAATAAAGTGAAATTATCCCTGTTGAAGAGCAACGTGGTTCTAATAACAGGCTTCACCTATTCATTGCCTCAGCCCATTTTCTGTGTCTGCACAATACCCCGAAATGTAAGCCAGTCAACATTCACTCTAATCAAGCTTAAGCATGCGGGGAAACACAGTGGATGAGTTTGGAAATGATGTAGGCAAGGATTTTCCTGAAGTCTACCTCGCTCCAAATCTGACTGCATAGAACAGTGGTGGGGAACTATGGCCTTTTATGACTGGTGGACTTCAACTCCCAGAATTCCTGAGCCAGCCATGCTGAGGGGAAAGGGAGAGGTTTCCATGCGGAGCCATCATGGCTCAGGAATTCTGGGAGTTGAAGTCCACAAGTTATGAGGGGGCCATAGTCTCCCCACTTCTGGCATAGCACAACAGAGCTATTCTTGAGAAGGATACAGATATGGCCCTTTTATGACTTGTGGACCTCAACTCCCAGAATTCCCGAGCCAGTTATGGTTATTTAAAGCACAACAAAATTGACTTCCTTTTTTTCTCTCTTCCTTCTTTTTTGCCTTTCCTCTTTTTTCTCTTTTTTTTTTCTCTTTTCTTACTCTGTATTAATTTCCCTTAATCTTTTCCCTTCTTTCTTAAAACTGATAATAAAACTGTAATAAAGCAAAACAAAATTATCCCTGCTGAAAAGCAATGTGGTTCCAATAATAGACTTCACCTGTTCATTGCCTCAGCCCATTTTCTAGGCCTCCACAATACCCCGACATGTAAGGCAGTCAATATTCAAACTAAGTAAGTTTAGCATGCTGGGGAAATGCAGTGGGCAAGTTTGAAAATGACGTAGACAAGGATGTTCCTGAAAGCTGCCTCACTCCAAATCTGACTGCATAGAACAGGGGTGGGGAACTATGGTCCTTTTATGACTTGTGGACTTCAACTCCTAGAATTCCCCAGCCAGCCATGATGGCTCAGGAATTCTGGGAGTTGAAGTCCACAAGTCATAAAGTGGCCATAATCTCCCCACTTCTGGCATAGCACAACAGAGCTACTCTTGAAAAGGATACTGAAGCTTGTCCAATGCACTCTGATCAATGGTCCCCAGACTGTTGTAGACCAGGGTGCTGCTCAACAACACGGCCAAAGCAAAGATCCAGGCATCGTTTTGAGAGCTGCCCTAGAGAGGGACAAGAATAGGTTATGATCTGTTTCTGACTTCTGCTGAGTTTATCTATGGCAGTTAGAAGGTAACTTCTAATAAGCATAAGATACCATTCGTTCACCACTCCAGAATTTATTCACTGAGTCATTCATCTATTCAGACAGTCCCAGACAGGGTGCTGGGAGTTGTAGTTTAGGAAAATTTGAGGCTACGCATTGTAGGAGTTTCAAATAACAGGTGGGAAGGGATACGTAAAAGCAAAGTAAACAGCTTTCCCCATTTACTTAGCTGGCTAGGAAAGTTGTAAATGACTCGGGGATCCTACAACTATGGTAAATACATGCCAGTTGCCCAGGACCTAAATTAGGATCACGTGACCATGGTGATGCTGTGATGGTCATAAGTGTAAGGATCAGATATAAGACACTTTTTTCAGTGCTATTGTATCGAGGCGTCTGACTCTTGAGCCATGAAGGGAAAATGTACGGTAAGATAATAGAAACAAGATCAAGACCAGTTATAGAACAACAACCAGCAGAAGAGGAGATACATTTTAGAAGAAATAGAAGCTGCACAGATGCAATTTTTGTGCTTAAACAACCAATAGAAAAAGAATATGGAATACAATAAAAATCCCTTTCTCGCATTTGTAGACCAAGAGAAAGCATTTGGTAAGAGTTGATAGAAAATTGTTATGGCAAACATTGACTCAATATGGAGTAAGTAAACATAGGTATTTAGGTTTTCCTGCTTGAGCAGGGGGCTGGACTAGAAGACCTCCAAGGTCCCTTCCAGCTCTATTCTATTTCTATTTCTATTCTTATTCTATTCTATTCTTATTCTATTTCTATTTCTATTTCTATTTCTATTCCATTCCATTATTCTATTCTATTCTATTCTATTCTATTCTATTCTATTCTATTCTATTCCATATTTTCTATTCTATTCTATTCTATTCCATATTTTCTATTCTATTCTATTCCATTCCATTCCATTCCATTCCATTAATTCCTCTGTTCTATTCCATTCCATTCCATTAATTCTTCTATTCTATTCTATTCTATTCTATTCTATTCTATTCTATTCTATTCTATTCTATTCTATTCAAAAAACATCTTATTAGAGTATGCAGAAGCTTATACAGTGACTGCGGAAGTCCAATCAGAACAAACCAAGGAACATCTGAACCCTTCATAGTAACATCTGGAGTAAAACTATCCCCACTATTGTTTATCACCTACATTGACAGGATAAGCACAGCCAAACCCAAGAATGGAAATAATATGAACAAACGTCTCTTTGCAGATGATCAGGCATTGATAGCAAGTCCAGTTGAGAAACTGCAAAATCATCTTATGGACAGGAATGCCAGACAAATAATACAAAAATCAGCAAAGAGAAAAACAGAAGTGATTGAATTCTTTTATACAAAGAAATATAAAAATATAAAAATCACCTTTTCCACATCACCTATTCCCTCAGTATCCAGAAGGACAAGGGTTTGATTAGGCCTATCTGGATAGGGAACGCACCACATCCAGATTCCTTTCGTTTTTGCTTGCACTGTGGAGCCTAAACAGAAGCCTACAAATGGAAAAATGGGATAAGGTTTAGATCTAAAACGGTCAACCTGTAATATGTGAGCTACAGTTAGCAATAAGACACAGGTTGTTCACCTGTCTTTACACCTTGAAGCAGGAAGTTATGCAAGGGCGTAGTTTCCCATGTGAAAATGGTCATCAAAAAATATTTCATTTTGCAATATAAGAAAAAGCACAAGAACCCTCAAAAGATAAGGGGCCTACATTTCTGAGAAGCTAAAAAAAAACACCAGAAGAAGAGTTATAAACATGTATTGATTAAAATAGCAATCTAGACATTCTGTAATGGGAGGGGAGAAAGACCTTGGGAGAAGGGCAAAGAGATCAGATAAGAGACAGCACAGCCTTCTGATGGACAGTGGGAGGGGCAAGAGGCTCAGAAGAGACCCCCCCCTAGATTCTCTGGCAGTTAAAGGAGATGAGTGGAGAACTCAACTTTCAGATTCTGTCAAGGTAGCTTTACAATAAAGAAAATTGGCTCCTTTGATCAAGTTTCCTGTCTGATTTGTTCCATGAGGCCAACATCACCTAATAATAACAGAGTAGCAGAGCAGGACGGGACTTTGGAGGTCTTCTAGTCCAGCCTCCTGCACAAGCAGGAGACTCTGTGCCATTCCAGATAGGTGGCTTTCCAGTCTCTTCTTAAAAGCCTCCAGTGATGGAGCATCCACAACTTATGGAGGCAAGCTGTCCCACTGGTTAATTGTCCCCCTCACCATTAGGCAATTTCTCCTTAGTTCTAGGTTGCTTCTCTCCTTGATTAGTTCCCAACCATCGCTTCTTGTCCTGCCTTCTGGTGTTTTCTTATTTACTCTCAAACTTACTGTTGCTGTTGCTGGAACTGGGTATGTCTAGTTTAATGAAAAGAAGGATGAGGGGGGACATGATAGCAGTGTTCCAATATCTCAGGGGCTGCCCCAAAGAAGAGGGAGTCAAGCTATTCTCCAAGGCGCCTGAAGGCAGGACGAGAAGCAACAGGTGGAAACTGATCAAGGAGAGAAGCAACCTAGAACTAAGGAGAAACTTCCTGACAGTGAGAACAATTAACCAATGGAACAACCTGCCTCCAGAAGCGGTGAATGCTCCAACACTGGAAGTTTTTAAGAAGAGACTGGACAGCCATTTGTCTGAAATGGTGTAGGGTTCCTGCCTGAGCAGGGGGTTGGACTCGATGACCTCCATGGTCCCTTCCAACTTTATTATTATTATTATTATTATTATTATTATTATTATTATTATTATTATTATTA